TTATGTCATAATTACTTATACTATTGTTTAATTTTTTTTACAAATTATCAAGTATTTCTGCTGTAAGAATTTTGAATAAGCCAAAAAATAATGGTTCTAATAATAACAGTTAAAAAGTCAACACAACAATAACTATGACGTAATGATGACGATGATGAAAATAATAATATTTATGATAATGTCAATGACGATGATGACAACAATGATTATGATTATTGTGATTGTAGTGATGATGATGATGATTATGATGATGATGATGATGTTATCTCTCTGCATGAATGTCTTCTCTGGAGATCTCCAGAACAGCTGAGCACGTGACACCTCTCATATTTTTTTATTATAGCAATTTTTATTATTATTATTATTGATGTTGTTGTTGTTGTTGATGTTGTTGTTAATATTATTATATTATAATTTTGACCAATAATAATTCTTTACAAAGTAAAAAAATATTTTTCATGAACCATTATAAAGTGCTATATTAATTTTTTTTATTAAATTTCGTCTTATGCGAGTATTAACCTAATTTTATGTTAATTAAAGTATTTAAATTAACTCCGTGTACGCACACTCACTTATCGTTTGATATCCAACCGATGTATCATTGCTTACCGATCATCTCAGAACAGAATTTTGAGCAGCATGCCGAACTCATTCGACGAGAACGACGATCACTCGCCCATCTCCACTTTGAAGAAAATTTCCCAGCAGACGAAACAGCAAAGTGAAAACGAAACTAGCAAACAGCTCCAGCAAGCAACGAAAATGAAAAACAATGTTCCAAACGTTTGCTTCGAAAGAAGGAAGGCTATCTATGATACGTCGGTAAGTGTTTATTGATTGGTTGATTGGTTGGGTGATTAATTAGTTAATTTGTTAAATTATTAATTGATTAATTGGTTTAAATAGCAAAACGTTTGATAAATTTATTCATTTGTTGGTAGGTTAAATTTAAATTTGGCTAACGGTTTGTTTAGCTGTCAGATTGTTTCATAAGAATAGAAAATATAAAAAAAAGTTAAATTTATTTTTGTTCATTTGACTAAAATTTAATTTTTTCAACGCTCATTTAAATCCCATTAATTAAATTTTCATCATATTTTGTCAAAAAATAAAGTTACAAATTTTAAAATGCAGTTGGGTAAATGCAGTTACGCTCTCTTAAAATGATAATACAAAATTTTAACTGAGTTAAAATTGTTAATGAACAATAAACGATAAAGTTTTAACTGGTAGAGTGAAACAATTTAAAAAAATATTTCTTAGAAAAATTAGAAGACAGGATTTCAACTTGGCATCAATTGCATTTTAATAAATTGATGACTTATTGCGCTTCTGATAGCAAAAGTGGTTTCATTTTGCCGTGCAATCAACAAAAAAAAACTAACTCGAAACGTTGATAACAAACGCGAACAGATGAAAATTTTTGCCCTTTTAAAATCATTAACAAAATCTACGCAGAAATGAAACATTCATCATTAGGCAATGTTCATGAGGCCTTTAACTTTTAAAACCAACATCAAACGTATAGATTCTTTTCTTATTCGGCTTTTAATCCAAGTAATCTTTTTCAAACCACAAATTTAATGCTTACATTTATATATGCATTAATATATTCATACGCAAAAGATTATACATGAACCTAACAAACAGCATAAATCATTCAGTCAAAAAACTAAAAAAAAATCTCTATTTTATTGAATTCATTCCAAAATTTTCAAGGCGGCAGTTTGCTTTTCTGGAAGAAGTGACCTTTCTTTTTTTCTTTGTTTTTCATTTAATTGTTCTTTTATGGAATATTTATTAATTACATTATTTTAATTATTATAATTTAATTAATTATTAATTAATCAGTATTCAGTATTAATCAGTATTATTTAATTTTCTTAATTATTTACAAAAAAGGAACATACGCATGCCTACAATTCTCTTATGATAAAGAAATTCCTTTATTTTTATTCTCTTTCTCTCTCACGCACACACATACATTCAGTTTGACACATGCATACTCACACACGCACACACAGCATGTTCCATTAGAATAGCACAGGCTCCAATTTTTTATCTACTTTAAATCAATTCTGATGGAAACTTTGCAAAAAAATGAAAAAAATATTAAGAGAATGTAATGAAATGTCGAAAATTTTGTTAAACTTCCTATTTGGATGGAATACTTAAAGGTGACAAAATGCAAACCAGCCATTCGACAGCATCTCATTTTAGTCAATAAACCACAACAGCAACAAATAACATACACTAACCAAAACAACAACAAAACAGATATATTGGCATTGAGGTTTTAAGACGAAGCTTCTTATATAACTCTATAAAATGGTTTCTAAAAAATGAAATCTAATTTGAAAAAGCTTCGAAAATAATCAAAAAATCAAGAAAACATTTTAACTTATTTGTTTTTAAACACTTTGAATGAAAAATATTTTCCATGTTTTTCTTAGTTGAAATTTTTCGTTGAATAAAACCCAAAGAGGAGAGCTTAAAATCACGTGAATGTGTAGTTTGTTTGCATTGCCATTAAACACCTACTATGTTTCTTTCTGTTCTCTTATGTATGTCTCCGTGTTTCTCTGTTAGTATGTTGTTTTGTTTTTTTTGTTTTATCTAATGTTTTTCTAATTCTATGTTTTTTTGTTTGTTTTTTTACTTTTTGTCTCTTTGTCTTTCTGTCACTTTGTCTTTCTGTTTTTTTTCTTGCCATATTTTTTGTTCTTTGTTCTTTGTGTTTTTATTTTTTTTTCAACCATGTTTCTTTTTTTTATTTACGTGTTTTTTTTTATATTTCCATATTTTTGTGTTTAAAGTTGTCTCCGTTTCTTTCAATTTCTTCTTGCTACTTTTTGCGTGCGTTAAAATACAGGGCTAATAAAAAGCTGGAAATATAAGAACGGAAAATTAGGAAATACGTATAAGTTTGCTTTCGAATAACCTGATTTATTAATCTAAAATAGAAAATCCAAATAAGTGAATAAAGAACATAAATAAAATCAATTGAAACAATATGAAATATTACAGAAATTATAAATGAATAACCAACCTAAAATAGAAAAAATAAATTCCAGTATCGTTTACAAAGCCAACAATAATAAATTATTACCACGTGCAATAATAAAATATGACCACGTGCTATTTGCATTTATATATAAGATGATACCAAAGTAATGAAACCTAATTAACAAGCACAGAATAGAAATACATAGATAAACAAGCACAGAATAGAAATACATAGATAATTATATGAAATATAATTTACATACGTTGTTAAAGAAGGGACACAAACATTTGAGAAAAAAACAAAACAGTAAAGAAAGGATAAAATTAAAAATGAAGAAAAAGAACAATAAATTTAAAAAGAAAAAAAAGTTGTCAAAAAGATTGATGAAGAAGAGGAGGTGGAGATATTCAATGAAGTATCTGGATGAATATTAGCGCTTTCCTGATTGATGTGCAAAATGGTACAAACTGTTGATAAGCAAAAACGTCAAAAAATGTCATCCATCTATTCATCTGCAGGTGCTAGGTTTTACGTGTTCAGTCACATTCGTACGTGCTATCTTTCTTTTTTTGCTGTTACACATTTTACCTTCTGGTTTGCGTTCTTGTTTGAGTTCATGTTTGTGTTATATTATTTTGTCGTTGTTGCTGCTTGTTCATGACATTGATGCAGCTGCTATTTGTAAACAAACGAAGCGACGATGTAATGAAACATTATCTTAACTTGGCGGTGATGATAATTTCAGTTATACGCTCATCTTTTTTGTCATTCACGCATGGCGTTTAATTATTAAACAACAAGCAAATTAAAAACAATAAGTAAGATAATGCAATTTCATAATAACACACGTATAAACACACATAAAACGCGCACACACGTACATTCCCTGACACGTAAACACATGCTGCAAAGACTTGTTCAAACATACATGCACGTACAGACACACTGCACAAGCACTATACAAACACATACACGCACACTTACACACAGACAGACTACAGAAGATACACGCACGCAACACATTCTATGATTTATTGTTCTAAACTAAAACAATATAGTTCGAATTTAGATTTATTTAAATACAATTTAAAACGCAGGAGATAGATTTCTCAATTTTATGCGGTCATCAACACTATGTGGATGATGTTGACGTTGCGATCAAGGTAATAATTCCACATTCTTCGTAAACTTCTTTTTCATGTCGTGATAGCAAATTGCCAGAATTAATTTTTTTTTCTAGTAGTCTTTTCTTTGGAAGAGATAATCTATGAAAAAATGATAACAATTAATCTTAATGCCTGAACCTGCACTTTTTTAATATAAATTTGATTTGATGAGTGTGTTTGTTTGCATGTGCCCACATGTGCGCTGTGATTTAATAATTTAAAACATCTGTTTCTTCTTCTATGGAATATAAGTGGAATATAATTGAATCTAGGTGGAATTATTTAATTTTCACTTTTTAGAACAAAGACAATTAACAACAATCCATCCATCACGTTGATAACAATTTATTGTTTTAAGAAAGGTTACAACAAGAATCTTTCTTTAAATGCTTAATAAAGCTTCAATTTATTAGAGGCACCAAGAGTCATTCTGTTTATTTCAAGAAATGGACAATATGAAAAGAGATTTAGGTTTACATTTAAAATACAATTTTTAAGAAAATACACTTTTATTTTTTCTAGACTTTTACTCTTAACTCAAATCGTTAGAAACCAGGTTTCGCTATTCAAACAGTGTACAACATTTTTGTACCCACGCACGAACGTTGATTGCATTGCGGTAAGTGAAAGACAGCACAAATAAACAAATCCTTCTTTAATACGCTTATATTTTCTATCTAGGTTAAAAAAATATATATGCATGCATTGATATATTCATATGCACAATATTATATAACAAGCAGCGTAAATCATTTAGTCAAAAAATCGATCTCTAAAATAAAAAATCTCTATTTTAATAAATTCGTTCCAAAATCTTTAAGGCATCAGTTTGCTTTTCTGAAAGAAGGGACGTTTCTTTTTTTGTTGAAATTTTTTCTAGAGTTGCCAGCGGGTGGAACACATCTGGTTGGCTGCCAACAAAACTTTTTTGGCGGTCCACCTATGAATGAAGCTGCCTCCACAGCTGCAGCTGTAGGTCTTTTCTTCCCTCGTCTGTCGCTGTTTGTTTGTTCATCGGCATCCTTTTTATATGATAAAATTGTGGAAGCCTTGTAAGATGGAGGATTGAAGAAGAAATCTTTGATCATTGCGGCAATGTTTTCTGCCATTTTCTTGGCATCATGGTTGTTATCTGTTGAATGGGTTTTGTTCAAAGATTTTGTGTATGCCTGCACACCTCTTGCAAGGTACTGCAGCCTTGCTCTGAAGTTCTTCAGTCGACCAGTATTTTGGTCGGATGCGAGGAAGTCTCGACCTTGCCTGGCCAGATGGTGGAAGGCAAATAAGAGGCATTTTACGTGGGAAAATTTAAAAGTTGAATAATTGTTGATGTCTGCCTGGCTGGGCGCTTCGGGCAGGTAAAAAATGAGATGATGGTATAAATTTTCAACACATGCATCCACGTAATTGAGTGACGTACAATAGATAGACGTGTCGGCCAGCAACTTAAAAATGTTTAAGAGCGTGTTAGCTTACTGAAATTCGTCATAGATTTGTGGCAGAACTTTCAGGCACATGTGCTGAACAAATCTATTTGAAGGAATGTCTATAGAAAAAAGACGCGAAGCTTCTTCAAAAGACTGCATCAAATAATTCATGTAGTTAGGATCAGACGTGAGCATAAAGTTCCAACTGATCTGCAATTATGTTGAGCAGTTGTCGTCTGCCCTCTAGTGATAACATGCTTGGAAGAAATGTGAGAACCTTTATTAAATTGACACACTCTTCCCATGTCACATTTTTCATAATTTATAAATTCTTTTTCCAATTCTTTCTGGCTCAGCAATCCTTCACTGACAATTATCTTGCATTTGTTCGCCAAAAATAAAATTGCCCGTTTACGAACAATTTCATCACCATTGCATATCTGTCCGAAGACATTACAATCCAATCCTTTATCACAATCCAATCCTTCATTACAATTCACTCCTTCATTACAATCCAATCCTTCATTACAATCCAATCCTTCATCACAATCCAATCCTTCATTACAATCCAATCCTTCATTACAATTCAATCCTTCATTACAATAAAATCCTTCATCACAATCCAATCCTTCATTACAATCCAATCCTTCATCACAATCCAATCCTTCATTACAATCCAATCCTTCATCACAATCCAATCCTTCATTACAATCCAATCCTTCATCACAATCCAATCCTTCATTACAATTCAATCCTTCATTACAATAAAATCCTTCATCACAATCCAATCCTTCATTACAATCCAATCCTTCATCACAATCCAATCCTTCATTACAATCCAATCCTTCATCACATATCTGTCCGAAGACACCAGCCAACGTGGCTCTTGTGTCCAGTCTTAAGAGAGACATGAGTGACTGCATAAGACTCAACTCCAAGCTATCGATACTTTGCAAGAGTTGAACTAAGATGTCGCTCACTTTTTGACAGTTCTCAGGAAAGGCTTTGCATATAATTGTCAGGTCTTTTGTAGCTTGCTTGCGAACATTACCATCAGAATCTTCACACATATCGAACATGAACTCCAAAGTTTCTTCAGCAAATTGCTTAAAATATTTGAAGTACTTGCCAGCCAGTTGAGATGTTAACCTCTTTTCACTTGACGTTCCTGTGAAACCTTTCAGTATTGATTTGAAGACATCCGTGTGCTGACTAATTTCGTCTTCCGCGCCATCCAACTGGGCTGAGTAATTGTACAATTCATCAATCGTCGCCATCCTAATTTTAATTTAACTATTTGCTTGAAACGATCGTACTCGCGATGTAACAAAGTGTGAAATGACGAATGCTGCTGGATATTATTATCATTTAAATAGTCTTTAACAAAGTCGGTATATCTTTGTTTTAAAGCACCAAAGAAACTTTATTTTTTATAATTGTTTTATTTGCAACAAAATACGTATGCAAAAACAAAGACATCAATACCATCATTAACAAATCTTTCCTTCAAATCATTTCCATAACTCCACGACAGCTTTCAAAAGGAACGTATGCATGCCTCTGATTCTCCCATGATGAAGAAATTTCTTTTTTACTTTCTTTCTCTTTCTCTCTTACGCACACACACGCCAGGGCGTACATTCAGACTGACACATACATCCTCACACACGCACACACATGCATGTATCTAACAGAATATCACATGCTCCATCTTTTTATTTACTTTAAATCAATTCTTCTAATAAAAAATTTTAAAATATTAAGAAAAGGTAATGAAATGTCGAAAATTTTGATAGGCTTCTTATTTGGATGGAATACTTAGAAGTAAAAAAATACAAACCTGCCATTCGACAGCATTTCATTACTTGTCGATAAACCACAACAGCATTAACCAAGACAACTAAACAGATAAATTGGCATTTTAAGATATTGTCCATTTCTTGATATAAACAGAATGACTCTTGGTGACTCTAATAAATTAAGACCTAATTAAGCTTTTAATGAAAGATTCTTGTTGCAACTTTTCTAAAACGATAAATCGATACCAAAGTGTAGATTGTAAATAATTTCATTGTTCTATATATTGAAAACTAAATAATTCCACCTCAGTTCAATTATATTCCAATAAAGAGTAAACAAATGTTTTAAATTCTTTAATAATTGCTCTTATATCGGCAACTCCACATGCAAGCAAACACACCAATGTGGGAAGAAATGTAAGTTCCGCCGATACGACGTATTGCGACAATTTGTGATGTGATGTTTTACAATGTAATTTAATGCAATGTGTTTCGCTTGTTGTGTTTTGTTGGTTTAAGCAGCGTCAACAAAAACATCAACAAAATTTAACCAATGGGAGGCAACAAGAACATTCCTCTAAAATACAAATCCGGTTAATGTTTATACTCCTGCTGTGTACAAATGTTTCGATAAAGTAATTTCAACACCACAAATAAATCACATCTTCAACAAAGTATTCTCATCAACAACATCACACAACACACACTCACACACACAAACACACATACACAACATACACAACACACACACATAAACACACATACACAACACACGCATACACAACACACACACATATTTAAGCACAAATATAAATCAGTGATACACAGAACAAACATGAAAAAGAATTAATTGAATTTATGTACATTGTACATGTACATGCTAATTTATGTACGTGATATGCCAGGGTCATTACAGGCTGTTGTTTGATGCTGCTAATACCTCTTTGGGTGCAGTTCATGATACATTATGCAGGATGTCTGACGGACATATATCATTTGGATATATATATATCATTCGGTATATTTGATATATATAATGTACATTATAAGTAGATAATATATAGATATTTGCATAATATATAATATATATATATATATATATATATATATATATATATATATATGTGCAGATAAGTGTTTTATATTGAATAACAATATCAGAAAAGACATCTTTCATATGATCACACGTAATTTAAAAATTGCTTCATCGTCACCTCAACAAAAATGATTATACTTGTTATGTTGCTATGTTCACTCCACATATATACCGCTATGTCAAACGCATAAGTGGTTTTTAGTGATTCATTTCTTTCGTAGTATTGGTTCAAACTTTTGTGTCTTAAGAGTTGTACACACACCATACACACCACACACACACACACACACAAACACGCGCACAAACACACACACACTCACACAACACATGTGCGATTTTTTATATTTGTTTTTTAATCATTGCCATCGTCATTCTCATCTTCAACGCCACCATCATCAACATTGTTATAATCACAAGAAACAAGATTTTTAAACAATTCAAACTGGACATGCTCTACATAAACTTTTGAACAAATATTTAATAATTTTGTTCATTAGTTTAATTTTTTTAAATGATAAAACTTGTTTTTAGCTGGGTAAAAATTTGGTCATTCGATATTAATCCCACAAATTTGTCTCAAACTCCCGACGCAATTTTAAAAGTTTACGAGGAACTTTAGATTAAATGTTTCAATAAAATGCCCCACTTAAGAACGCGCAAACTTAAATTATGTCTCCATATCTTATAAATTTTTCCTTGGAAAAAACAAAAACACAGTTAAATTCCATTTTGATATTTTTTAGTTGATTGTTTTTTTCCATTAAAGATCCACCTGACTGAACACGCTTGTCAGCGCAATAAACATTCACGTGCTGCTTCTACTGTCCAGTATATTTTCGCCAGTGACGTCACTATTGACAGCCATATTCGTCCGCGTGACCATAACATTTATTCACGTGATAATATTACCAGTTCACGTGACCATAATATTTGTTTACACAAAAACAACACAAAAACGCACGTTTGAATCATCCTGTGCCTGACCTGGCATTTTATAAAGTCTCCTGATCCAACGCCTGCTATTTCTTTGCCGAGCAAATTCGCAAGATGATGATGATTAAGTGATGATGATGATGATAATTAAACGATTATGGTGATTAAACGACACGATGATAATTTAATGAAATGATCATGATGCTGGTGATGATGATGATTCAGAGATGGTGATGATGATGATGATGACGATGATGATTAAGAGATGATGATGATAATGATGATGATTAAGAGCACAGCCATGACATCTCAGAAAACGCCATACATTTTAATTTTCAGTTGTGTCGACTCTTATTTGTTGTACATGTTTGCTTGTGTGCGTCTTTGCGAGTTATGTCGTTTCAGACATTTATATATAGCAGTGCACGCGGTGTTTGTGTATGTCTGGGCATTCCAAAACATGCTTTATCAAGTTGTTTTTAACAACTTGAAGGGAACAAACAGTGCGTACGTACATCATTGCTTACAAGTAAAACATAAGAAGGTGAAGAGTGGGCGGATGTACGCGAAATTAAGTGGAATGGAATTGAAAGATGTGTTTCGATTGAAAGCTGCCTAATTAATAGTTTTGTTGGCTGGTTGGCTGACTGGCATTGGAATGAACAGCAACAGCAAAAACAACAACAACAACAACAGCGAGCAGTGGAGAGTATTGGGAAAAACATTTCTGAGAGAAGTGTTGCTCTTCTTGAGTGCAATGGAGATGGACGGAAGGAAGACTTATAAAAAAAAACGAGAGAAAGAAATATGTCCCCAAAAAAAGAAAAAAAGGAAAAAAAGTAAAAAGTTTAAAAAAGAAAGATTGAATGCAAAACAATTTGATGAATAGGGATACCGTAGAAGTAGTTGATTAGTCGATAGATGGCCAAATAATTGGCTAGCTGATTGGTTGGATGGTTGGCTGGCTGATTGATTTATTTGGCTGCTCATCTGATTGGTTGGTCGTTTAGAAATATATTTTTTCGAAGAAATGTATTTTCTTAACATTATATATCAGGCTTATATTTATATATTTTTAGTTTATGTCCATTGTTCGCGTATTAATGTATATGCCCAGCTCACACACACGCGCGCGCACAAAATCACAAATTCTTTGTAAGTTACTTTCAAAAACTTAATAAAACTTTAATTTTCAGAACATAAGAACGTGAGTTAGTTTCAGCAGATAATATACAATGATGAGAGACTGAAGCGAAATACAATTTTTTTACTTGTTTCACGGCCATAAACCTGCATAGAAAAATTTAGAAAAATTGTCAAATTATGTATCGAAGAGAAGAATATTAAAATATATGGATGCATTGTATGTGTGTTTGCGCTTTGTCTGTGTATTTGTAATGTGTATGTCTGTGTGTGAATCTGTGTGTATGTTTTTGTACATCTGTATGTGTGTCTGTGTGCACGTTTCTTGTGTGTTTGTCACACATTAATATTTGACAATATGCATTAACATGAATATTCAAATGCACACGCACACACACACACACAGAGGGAGAAATAGAAACACACACACACAGAGAAACACACACACACACCAAATTAATTTCTCATTTTTTTAGCTACCGCACACTACAAGCAGTACACACTAACACTACTGCCACTCCTGTTCTGATTGTAAATTGTATTGAAGATAGCAAAGATGACGTAGAAGACTTTCATTCAAAAATAAACACGTACACACACACACATATTTGTTTACACACGCACATATTCACACACACAAACAGGCACATACATAGATACGCATACACACATTCACGTAAAACATTCACAACATATGAATTGTGAATGTTTCAATGAAACAGATGTTGAAATTATTGAAATGGTTTACATAATATGAAGTTGAAATATGCAGTCCTCGTGAGAAAAACTCGATCGACTCAGTTGTTTGAAGGGAAAATAAGTCCATCCGTTCAAGTTGGAACTGTAATGAAGGAGTGAATTGTAATGAAGGATTGGATTGTGATGAAGGAGTGAGTTGTAATAAAGGATTGGATTGTGATGAAGGAGTGAGTTGTAATAAAGGATTGGATTGTAATGAAGGATTGAATTGTAATGAAGGATTGGATTGTAATGAAGGAGTGAGTTGTAATAAAGGATTGGATTGTGATGAAGGAGTGAATTGTAATGAAGGATTGGATTGTGGTGAAAGAGTGAATTGTAATGAAGGATTGGATTGTGGTGAAGGAGTGAATTGTAATGAAGCATTGAATTGTAATTTAGGATTGGATAAAAAATGATGGATTGTAACCTCATACAAACTGATGTCCATGTTTTGTTTTAATAGGTAAACAAATTATTTTACTAGTCCTTCAAGTTATTCAAACAAAAGTTCACAAACTATTGCACAAAGAAACGCGTACACAGACGACACACACACGCACACACA